AGCACCATGTTTCCCAGAGAAACCCGTTGCCTTCTCTAATGTTGCTTGCTGATGCATTGTCAAGAGTGTCAAGGGTGCTTCTTTTATTGTGAATCCTTCATACATCACTGCATCTTCCAGAGTTTATTTGGATTTAAAATTGATGCCATTGTTGCTGATCTGTAGGAAGAAAAAAAAAAGAAAGAGAGATTTCCATTATTTTGGAATTTCTTTTCTGTCTAACAAATTCCAAGTTCATCATGGAAAAATTACTTGTGATGATTAGACATAAATCACATTGCCAGAGACTCTTGGATTTGGGTTGATAAGTTCCTCTCCCAAGCTTCCCTGCTGATCTTTCCATGCCTACTTTGGCATTAATGTCAGCCATCACAAAGTGTAAGTTGTGTTTTGGTATTCTGTCAATCACATTTTTAAGGCAATTGTAGAATTGTCCTAGTCAATGTGTTCCTCTGTCAGAAAACAGCTCTGTATGATTGACATCTTTATGAACCTGGTTTGGAATCTGGCATATATGATGTCTTGGTTGATAGCTACCCAACCAAAGACTGATTTTTCCACAAAATCTGTCATGGTGAATGCTGTCCCATTTACATGTTCCTTGTCACAGAGATAGTTCAACTTTCAGTGTGTGACTGCTTTTCATCATTACCAAGGATCAGGAAAAAGGTGAAAAGAAGGGAACACCAATGCCCTTTCTAGGGGCATGCAGAGGAAGGTGTACAAGAACTCTTCTCTGAAAATCACCAGGACAAAGCATAATCTCTGAATGTTTTCATTGTTCCAGAAGTTCCTATACACATGAGCGCAAGTAGATAACCATACAGTAGGACTGGATAGCTGATCAGAATGTCCTGCATGGTGTGAATAGTTCCTTTCCTTCTGAGGCACTGAAGATCTTCTTAGGGTAGTATGAGCCCTTCATCCAGCACTATTTTGGATGGAACCACAACCTTTGCTTAAACAACAAAATAATAAAGAACTACGTAAAACCTGGAAATATAGAAATCCTATGAAAATAACATGAGATCTGACTTACTTAAAAGAATTGTAGATAGCAATCACGATTATGTGAAGTATATGACTCAATATGTCAGTGAAAGCTTGAAAGGGGCAATACTGAAAAAATAAAAGTCATAAAATACTAACTGGAAGGCATTTCACTGTCCTAGACCTGGGGTAATCCTAAATTGAACTCTCTTCTTAAAGGCATTCTTTTTTTTCTAGAGGAACTTTTGAGTCTTCCCCAAAAACTGAAGACAGAGATCACAGAGATCACAGAGCTCACCAATTAAAAGGGCATGTGGAAAAGAGCAACATGACTGATTAAAAGATTGGGTAGACTGAGGTGTAGACTTGAACATATAAAATGCTGCTTGATTAAGCAATGACTAGGGTGATTGAGTGGAAGAAAGGAGGGGACTGGCGTGACATTAACATATCCCTTTATATGGATATAGACTAGGAAGAGGAAATGTTTCTTGTGATTACACTCAGTTTTGTAATTAACACTAATGAACTGACACTATGAATAAAACCCATGAAATAGCTGTTGCAAAAACTTCCTGTTTGTTAAACAGTGAAAAATACTTCTAAGGGAAATAAAAAAGGCCTTTAAGAACTGAAATGTACCTAGCACTGGCAAAAGTATAGAGAAGATAATCTCACACTCACAGAGAGACAAACAGGATGGTCTTTACTCCCTTTCATCTCTTGCATTTCAGATTCTATTACCACTGCCTACTCAGTATTTGTCAGTTTTAGCTTTCTATTCCCTTTGTGGTAATTCTCGGACTGTTTTGCTTTCCAAGTAGGAATTCTCTGTGAGTGTAATATTTGACTAATCTTCTTAAGCCTTTGGTTGTTTCTTCAGATTACAAAATGAAAAATGTTTTAAAAACTCCAAAAAAAAAATAAAATGTTTGGAAGCCAGAAGTAGAAGTAAATTATCCATCTTCCTATTTCATATTAGCTGTGAAATCTTTCTAACTTACCTTAATTATATATATTATATATTTTAAATAAATACCAGTAGAAAAACATCTGCTTATCTAAAAGATAGACTAGTTTATTTCAGAAAATATGGAAATGACATAAGTACAATCGCCCATTATAGCATCTTCAACTGGCAAAAAAAAGCATGATATAGCTTTTGGCATTAAATTTTACAGTATTAATATAAATGACTAGGGGACAGGGTAATCTAACAGCAGCAGCTTTGGAGTATTACAGTGAAGCCAAACAAAAAATGAAATACTTAGTTAATATCCTTAGCCCAACCTTCTTAGAAGTGCATTTGTCTTAGTTTCAGCTGGGATGGAATTGTTTTTTTCAGTGTCTTGTATGATGCTATGTTTTGGTTCTAGGAGAAAAACAATGTTGATAACACACCCACTGATGTTTATAGTTGCTGCTAAGCAGTGTGGTACAGAGCCAAGGCCATTCTCAGTGAAGGGCCCAGGAAGCTGAGAGAGAACAGAATTGGGAATAGTTGACTTACACTGACCAAAGGAATATTCCATACCATATGGCATCATGCAGAAGGAATTTTGAAGGGGTGGGAGTCCATCTCGCTCTTTTACACACTGTGGGGCTAGCTGGTGAGCAATAGCTTGTGCATCACTTGTCCTATATATATATTCATGTATATATAATAGTCTAATTATTATTCTTTTCCTTGTCTCTATCTTAGTAAATAGTTTTATCTCAACCCACAAGTTCTGCTTTGTTTTTTCCCTTCCTATCCTCCTGGGAAGGAAGGGAGTGAGCAAATGACTGGGTGGTGCTGAACCTGGTAGGATAAAACACATCAATATTAACTCCAGAGTCTCTGTCTCCCATGTGAGATGCTCAGGGAACATTTGGTTGAGAAATAATGAACATGAGTGTGAGTGAGATACCGTTTTGAGGCGCAGCAAAACCCAGTTGAGTTCCCAGTGCAGCTCCAGTTCTCCTCCATGGTGTATAACACTGCCTTTGCATCATATCTCCTACCTCTGAATGGTAACTATCAATTCTTCATTTCTTTCACCTTGAGGCACTACCTCCCTTCTTTTTCTGAGCAAAGGCCATGTTGACAAATGTTGCCCCAAAATCTGCCAACAGCTGGATCATGTTGCCTGGCAATTAGGATGTTTCGTTGAGGACACAGTGCTGGCTCTGTCTGCCTTTGCTGAGATGTGTTTGCCAGTAGCCAGTGTCATGTGAGGATGTGAAAATATTCCGTGCACCATCACCCCTGTCCCACTAGTTCATGGGTATCCTGCAGTTTGTGAACCAAAGAGTCTTATACTTTTCCTGGAAAAAGAAATATATTCTCCTAATATAAAACTCTGTGTCACCATATCTATGAATAAGCTAGGAGGAGGAAAGAAAAAGTATGCCTTATAGTTTGTGCAGTTGAACGAGGTGTTGTATCTGATGACTGAAAAGGATTAGAACAGAATTAATCAGTTTTGAGACTAAAGCTTTTCTGTTTTCAACACTTCCTCTTAGTACATTACTAATGGTGACTTGCAATGTTCCGCTTCACTTTCAGATTTTGGCAAGCACTGATGCTGATGTCCATTAGATATGCTGTGTTTCATTTTAAATGAAAAGTTCCACCAGCTTGAATTCATTGTGAGATGAGAGTCAGACATACACCTTTCTTGATTATCTTCCAGTACAACCCTAATCAGCCGTGATTCTCTCTTCAGACTCCCTCCATCCTTGGCTAACCAAAAAGTGCTGGTCACTATTTAAAGTAGGCACTTCATCTTCCTACTGTTCAAAAGTTTTCACCATCATGTCAGAATGAATGGAGGACATGCATGAGTAAAGCTCACATTTGTAAAGGAGATAAGATTTATGACTAAGCTGAATTAAATGTAGTGATAATTTGCGTCTTGGCTACAGTCTCTTTTTGCTGACCTGGTATGATCATGAAGATTAACTACTGGAATAAGAACTGGGATATTAATATTTCAGGTGCAAGTGATGTTAATTGGATTACACATTGTGTATTAAAATTGGGGACTGTTAATGGAGTTAGAAGGATTTGTGCACTACTGGGGATGCCATTATATGTGTAAACTACATGCAGTATGCATTTTTATTACTATTTCCAAATTGACTTTAGGTGAAAGCACAGCTGGGTACTTAACACAGTGGTGCGGAGGAAGCAAGCATTTAAAGATTCAGCTCCCACTTTTTGAAAATTGCACTGTAATTTGGAAAGTACATTTTCTCTTTAGGAAAATTAGGCCTGAAAGTCCTGCCACGTATGACTGACAGTGCCAGCTCTCTATCAGACTTCCATTCCTCTGATCTCTGTTTAATTCTCCATTTAGATGGCATGACTAAATTTTGTACCATCCGCTCACACAGCAAGAAAAAGTGATGTCTGTACTGTCTTTCTGGGAATATGGCATTTTCACTTGAGGCTGGTTGTGATCTAACTACAGATGTTAGCAAAGTAGAGATACGTTATTGTATAGGAATTGCTGAGTCACGGCCTGAACCTCTGATTGATCACCTGAGGTGAGCAATGAGTCAGCCACAGGCACACAGGTGAAGGCAATTCACCTGTGCTGCTGGAAGGGATGGAGCCTGGCTGCACCTCTCATAGACCCATTTAAGGGCTGACTACCAGTAGGAAAGGATCTCTTTGGAGATCCCTCCTCTGGAGTTTTGTAGCAAGCCCAGGATGTGGGTAAGCATTCTATCCATTCTCTTTTTGTTATTGTAACCTGCTTAGCCAAACTTTCTTGTTTATTTTGTAATTTCATCTTTATATTCATTGATTATACAATTGTCTTCTCCCTTTTTTGTGTTTCCAAGGCCTTTGATCCACTGAGTGACAATGTAGTGACCTGGATCAGCTTACTGATCTACTGGAAAACTACTCAACGCTTCATGGTTGGACCACTGCACAGTTCTGGAAAGACAGAAAAGGGATAGTGTGTGATTGAAGGATGATGCAAGTGTGCTAATTAGCAGTAACTGCATGTAAAGCAGATTAAGCACAAAGTTGAACCAGAAAAGCGAAGGTGAGCTCAGATTGTTTCTGAGCTCAGGGGGGTTGGACACGATGATCTCTGGAAGTCCCTTCCAACCCCTACAATTCTATGATTCTGTGTAATTCCCAGTACATCTTTCTGGAGACCGCTGGGTAGAAATTGTTTCTTTACTCAGTTCTCTATTTATTTAATGTTGGTGATGAGTTCAGGGGCATTTAAGGAGCTTCATGTGCCCCACGTTCTCTTTTAAAGGGAAGTCATAACTTGTGTTCTTTTGAAGGGACCCTATATGAGGATTCCTTTCAAGAAAGGTTTCTAAAATAAGGAAAGGTGACAAAGTTCAGCAGGAGATAGCTTCTTTATTGACAGAAACTGCTGGAGAATAAGACCAAAGTCTTAGTAAATAAATGCCCAGTAACTGACTTACAAAGGGGAAAAAAGAAGGAAAAAAAAAAGTAAATGGCAAAACATAAACAAACAAACAAAAAAACCTCTAAAAAACTCTATCATAAGCAATGCAAAGCCACTCCTCACTGGTGTTGCTATTGAGAATTTTTTTTGTTATTCCTCTCCTTCTTTATAGTTCTAATTTGACCTTTATAATTTCACAATATTTTCTAGCAGAAAAAGCCTCCATACATCAAAGTGGGTAGTGAGTGCCTGGGATGAGGTTCTGTCAAGGGAGAAAATGGGACATTCATCATTAGGAAGAAGTGCTGTGCACTTAGAGATGAACAGTTTTATTTTAATCCTTTCATCTATTTCTTTAGCTCCTTTTTGTTTCAGTTGCCATAAACACTTGCTTTGGAGCCAATGTTCAGTGTACTGAAAGGATTTTTTTTATCTTGTATTCCTCTCATTTATGTTGAGACATGACACTCAAATTGGAGATAGGAGCAGAGATCAACAAACCCTGTCAGTTCTTGTCAACCCAGGTGTAACAGTGTGATCTTCTTAAATTGCTGCTAATCTGCCAAAGATCTCTTTATCTGCAGTCTCCATCATGCTGTTTGCTCACATTTGGTTAACACTTTAAATTTCCCTTTTGGAGGTGTCACTGTTTGCCATTTAGCAACTAAGAACAACTGTGAGAGCAGCTTAAAGCACATGGATTTGGGAAGCTAGAAAAGCTGATTAGCTATTCAGGGGGAATAATCTTATTGAAAGTAGTAAGAGCTGTATAAAGAATGCTTTTCCCTTTCCTTGTAACAATCTTCTAATTATGTTGTCAAGCTTGCTGTCGTGTTCTCCCCCTGTGCCATTAAGAAACCGTTTTCTAAGTTAAGAAAGAGATTTCCAGATTGCGATGATGTTTGCTGATTATCGTAGAATCATAGAATCAAGGAATCATTTGAGTTGGAAAAGACCCTGAAAGGCCAGCTATTCCAACTCCCCTGCAATGAACAAGGACACCTGTGACTCAATCAGGGTGCTCAGAGCTCTGTCCTTGAGTATTTCCTGGGATGTGGCATCCAGCACCTCTCTGGGAAGCCTGTGTTTCTGAACTTTTACAGTTAAAAACTCTTTTATGTCCAGTCTAAATCTCCCTTCTTTCAGTTTGAAATCATTTCTTTGTCCTGTCACACAGCAGGCCCCACTAAAGAGTCTGTTCCCTTTATTCTTATAGCCCCCTCTTTGACACAGAAAGGCTACTGTTGGACCCTTGTCTTCTCCAAGCTGAACAGCCCCAGCTCTCTCAGCCTATCCTCATAAACTGATGTTCCATTCCTTGGATCATTTCTGTGGCCCTACTCTGGACATGCTCCAGCAGATCCACATCTCTCCTGTACTGAGGACTTCATATCTGGATGCAATAGTCCAGATGAGGTCTCATCAGTTCAGAACAGAGGGGCAGGATCACCTAACTCAATCTGCTGATCACGCTTCTTTTGATGCAGCCCAGGAAAGTTGGCTTTCTGGGCTGTGAGGACAGATTCATAAAATCAGAGAATCCTAGAATGGTCTGGGTTGAAAAGGACCACAGTGATCATCTACTTTCAACCCCCTTGCTATGTGCAGGGTTGCCAACCACCAGACCAGGCTGCCCAGAGCCACATCCAGCCTGGCCTTGAATGCCTCCAGGGATGGGGCATCCACGGCCTCCTTGGGCAACCTGTTCCAGTGTGTCATCACCCTCTGTGTGGAAAAATTTCTTCCTTATGTTGCTGGCTGGTGTCTATTTTGCCATCCACCAGTATTCCCCCTCAACTTTTTCAGCAGACTTGTTCTTTATCCTTACATCCCCCAGCTTGTACTGACAGTGGGAGTTGCCATGACCTGGTGCAAGACCTTGCACTTGGCTTTGTTGAACCCCCTGAGGTTCACATGGGCCCACTGCTTGAGCGTACATCTGTGGATGGCATCCCATTCCTCGAACGTGTTGCTTGGTGTCACCTGTAAACTTGCTGATGGTGCAATCAATTCCACTGTTGATGTCATTTACAAAGATGTTAAAGAGCCATGGTTCCAGTACTGACCCCTGAGGGACACCACTTGTCATTGATCTCCATCCGGACACTGAGCCATTAACCATCACTCTCTGGGTATGATCTTGGCAGTTCTTCCTTTATGCACTCTGCTCTACGATCAAGACAGTCATTTTTAATTTTTCTTTTTCCCTAGCATGGTTCACTACTAAACGTATGTGGAAAGTGTTACTGAGTAAATATGGTGTACTGCACAAGTTATTTCTTTAAAAGTATAATGGCATGCCATTGTGTTTTGCAAAATCAGTTTTCTTCCTCTCTTATTGCCATTATGTGACTCCACAGTATTCAGTAAAATTACTTTTGATTTCAACAGCAAGAGAAAAGAATTTACTCAGTACATTTTCCGTATAAATTAAATGTTGTTACCTGATTTAAGACAATTCTGCCTGATTAGTGTAAATCATCGAAGTCTGTCCATTTTTATTTTATAGTGAAGGAAGACTTACAGTGTTTGCAGAAGTTAAATCAAAAAGCAAGCAAATCAAATCACACAAACGTGCACAAAAAAAAAACCCAACCAACTTTTTTTTTTTTTTTTTTTTTTTTACCATGTCATATTTAAAAATACTATCCTACAATTGGGCAATTGCATTCAATAACCACTTTCTTCATTTTGTAATATATGACAAAAAATTCTTCCATCAGACTATTGAATAGGCTGCTAAAAATTAGTAGATTTATTACAGAAACCTATTTTGCTTGCATTTCACTTAAGTTTGGTAAATATTCATGTAAAGTGTTTTGGTGTTGATGGATCTGCATTTTCAGACACAACCACAGTATGTTGCCCCCTGAGACAGAATTCATTTTAATTTCATATGGAAACATACTATATACTGTATTAGCAAGTACAATTTGCAATAACGTGTAACAAAAATCATGGTCATACAGAATGTGATAACAAAACTGACACTGCTACTTACTGCAGAATTATTTGCCTATGTGAGTGGAAAGATAGGGGTGCCTCAAGGCTTTGACGGGTAGGAAGAAACTGGTATGTGCAGTGGGTAGAGATCAGTTTTGCTGCCATGAAGTACATTTTTGCAATGGGAATTAACCTTTTAAAGTGAGATTTTCCAATTTCTGGTCTTCTGAGGCACTGTGATCACAATGGTAACCACTTGCCAAAAGTAATTGCTGTTTTCAGCCCCAGTGTCATTCTAGAGAGTGTGAATTTTATGTAGAATTTTTTGGTTGGCACTGTATCTGACAAGGCTCTCAGTAAAATAACTCCACCGTTCCAGTGTACAACATCCATCTCAAGGCTTGTGTTTGCCATTCAGGAAATCCTTTATCAGAGCAAGCTTCTGACTCATACTAAAACAAGCATTCACGCTCACAGGAGTCTGATCTCCGTGCCCTGCTTTTCCTTTCAATATGGGAAGTCAGGATTATTTACAGATAAAGCATCCCACTACTTTACTTACCATAAGAATATCTAACATGAGGAGCTACATCAAGTTCTGAACAGTTTAAACCTTGTGAAACTCAGTGAAAGGAATGTGCCATGATCTGATTGTAAATGGTAGCTGAAGGGTAGATAATCTGAGCAAAACTGCAGGCAGCCTGAACAACCTTTCATACAGCCATTTTCAGTTCTCTCTGCTGGTATTTTTGGGAATGTTCTGTGAAATGCAAAAGTAAATAGCTGTAGATCAGCCTACCTAACATTTCATGGTGGAAGACATGGGAAACATCTTTGAAGATGGTGGATGTATTTGCTGCATTTCCTTCAGAGCATAAGAAATAAATGTTCTTTTTCGGAGATGTAGAAAAAGGAAATCATGTCGGTGCTTGCTTTTTTTTAAAACTTTTATGCAGTAACTGCAGTCATACAAACATACACTGCTTCCTATTTTACCTTTCATTTGTTTCTTCTGCCTCCCTCCTGAATGCTGTTATTGAGCTCTCTTCCTTTGGAGGAAGATGCAAGCTTTTTTGATCATTTAAATATCATTTACAAGCTGTATCATTCTTGACCCAGAATGTATAATTAATTTTGATAATTTACAATTTCTGCATGTCCCCAGTGAATTGTAAATTTTACATATAATCTAAGTTTCTCATGATTGTTGCACTTCAAGTTCCTAACATACAAGGAGGACACAGTCTTCGATTTGAAGAGCTTGATTTCTCATTTGATACAAGATACAGGTGAACATAAACAAGGAAAGAAGCAGAGAAAGAAAGAATAGTGGACTCCTACTCATTGCATAGGTTGGTGACATCATAATTTGATGATTCCAAATAATTTTCAATTATCACTTTTGTAAATTAATAAATAACTGCTTTTATTACAGAGCTGTTTCACTTATTTTTTGTTAGGTTAAGTATCACTTGCAGAAGGGTGTCTTGAAAAGCAAAGTCACAGAGGAGAGTACAAAACAAAAGACTTCATGTTCCTATGTGTATGGAGTAACAAAGATAAAGAATGTGGAGAAGATTCTTCCTATGGACCTCTGTGTGCACTGCTTAGTTGAATTTACCTGGCAGAAGGCTAGAGGTCTATGGTGCGAAGCACAAGATGATGAGAACAGGAGTGTAGGAGACTGAGGAAGGGCAAAAAGCTCAAAAGACCATTTTGTAACCATTGTTATATGCAAAACCTTCACATATGTACGATGTTCTCAAACTCCCACTGCGTGCTCATGTTGTACTGCTGCCCAAGGTTGAGCTGAGAGCTAACCACAGTCGCGTGTGAGTATGTGCTTGTGGGCATTGTTAATATAGGGAACATTAACTTCACTTGAGTATAGTTATCCAAAAATCATGTCCAGTCTAAACTCTGGAGACAGAGCAATGTTTATACCTTCTTGCAAGTAGGTTGCAGTCATAAAAATTAGAACTAGAGAATGCTTGTAAGAGCTCACTGTTTCTGTAGGATTAGCTGCTTAGCTTGCAGATCCAAGTAACTGCTTTCATTCTTATGGTATTTGTCTCCTTTCTACAATATGCAAAGGAACATAAAGAAGTGTCCTGTCAGATTGTTGTTCGTATTATTATTATTTTATTAGATTGCACTGTGCAGAGCCCATTCAAGTTGTATATTTTATACAGAGCTACTAAAAATCTCTTCCCATTTATTGTGGTTAATCACAAAAGCGAAGATCAACAAGTGTTTTTTGTTTGTTTGTTTTTTTAAGATAAAATATTTTGTGAAACAATTTGTAGCAGAATTTTTGTCTGTACTTAAATAAGTACTTGATTGTTAATAATCCAACTTCAGAAGAACTCTAGAAAACACTGCAACATTTCCACCTGAAAATAAAATTAATCCTGCAAATGAGGTATCTTCTCATTTGGTGACCCAGCCATGCCTGCACTTTGCAGTAGTATTTCTTACAGGTTGCATCACCATAAGAAATCAGCTAAACACCTCTCATTCAGCTGGTTGTTCTCACTGAGCTGTTTTGCCCTGTGATCCTCCAGGAGTTCAGTGCCTTCACTGCCAATGTTTATCACTGCCTTCACCCTGGGCGCAGCTTCTTGTTCTGAAGGTTATTTAGACATTACAAGTCTTTGCAGAGGTAAGAGTGGGGGGAGAGAAGGGAAGAAATAGCCTTCACGGTGCCCAGTAGTTTATTGCTGTCCAAATTAATATGTCACTTTTGGCAAGATTTATGTGGGAATGTCAGAGGCTGAGAAAGTTGCTGTTCTTGCATTTGGTAAGGAAAAGTGTAGGGTAAGGAGTCCCAGGGAAGAGATGCTCAAAACTGAAGTCTAGTTCTCAATTCTAAGGTGAACCAAAACGATTTCAAGATTGTAGAATTCCAACAGAGGTTTTGCCAAGTAACTGGGGGCAATCTGTCCTGTTTCAGGTAGAGTATGAATCTTTCAAGTGTTATCTTCCTTGTGGTTTGCTTTTATTTTACATTTTGAAGAACAAGGAGATATGTATTTCAGTCTGTGCTTCTACTTAAGTTTTCTCTGCAGGATGCCCATATGTTGTTTGCATTCCTCTCTGCTTCATTTCTTTGGTTTGGCCAACCTACAAGTCAAAGTTCTGGCGGTAGTGCATTGCTCTTTAAAAGAGGTCATAAATCCAAATGGGGTGATGAACTCAGAATGTCTGGATTGTGCTTTCACCTGGAGGTCAGGTTATGTTCAGAACAGCTTGTTAACCCTTCACTGCATTATATCTTCATATAGTGAAAAATCACTGTTTAGGAGTGTAGAACTATATCCTATAGTCCCTAACATGCACTTCATAGTCATATTAAAAAATTAGCTGGTTCACATGAATGATACATATTTCTAGTTTATGCAAAAACTATCCTTTACATTTTCTTAACTTCCAAAATTAGTGCTGCTGCCTCATGTTTACTTGCATTCTTTATGCTCTCACCAATGCTGGTGTTTGACTACTATGGATCCAATCCAGACGCAGAGTATAAAAGATGTAGGAGATGCTGATGTAGGTGAACAAAATCTAAGTTATCTAAACAAGACAACTATATTTAGTCAGCTAAGCATATCTCTAGACTCTGTTGACTATGTTCTGTATACAAGTGTTTAGACATCTTCCTCCTGTGTAGGCATTGTATTCTGGACACCATGATGCAGGTGTCTGACTGTGAAGCTGAATGTCACCCATTAAAATTCTGAGAATCATTTGCAGCTTTTTTTATAGAACAGCTGCTGCAGGTATATAATCTACTTAGATGAAATGTAGAATATTTTCCCCAAGCTGTTTCTCCTATTGCTCATAAGTTACTGTCAAAGAGCAAATGCTCCCCAAGATCATGACATGAACAGGAGAAAGAAGTTATCCCTATTGCAAAACTGTGGAAAAATACCTTCATGCTCTGTCTTTCTTTCTTTATTTATTTATTTATTTATTTATTTATTTATTTGTGAGGTTTTCTTGCAGAATTAGGACAAAATTTTAGTTTTCTACATAAGCATAAACCAAACCAAAACTGAATCACATTTCAAAGAAATGGCACATCATTCTTCAAGGTTTTTCTTTGACTACCAGACTCAAGATGACATTTAGTATCATTGTGTCTGTACATAGCTGGAAAGATTTTGGTGGTTGAGCTTTATACAAGCCCTGGAAGAAGGGAGAGAGAGCTGTAAAATCCTTTGCGATGTGAATTAAGTTGACACATTCAAAGTCTTCCCATTCCATTAGAATGTCTCCTAATTAAATCCCTCTATCCTCCAAATGTGTTCTTAACCTTCTAATGACGTAGCAAGTATACACCTTCTGAGTGTGTTTATGGACTTGTTTGACTAAGCAGTTATCCTTATGATAAGTAAGCGATGGGAGTCTTTTGAAGTACCTACACAGGGTTGTCCAGATTTAGGTTAATCTATGTACTCAATTTCTCTTTGGAATGTCCTCTTGGTAGTTTTATTCAGAAATACACTGTCTTTTTCTTGATCTTTGTTTTCCATCATTTGCTGTTCTTGTGTTGCTTCATTGTGTAAGCAATTGACATTACCTTGTTTGGAGAGACACTTTTTTCCTCTGTCAGAAGTGGGAGAAGGGTCTACATAATGTATTTTCAAAAATATAATAATTAAAAGTCAGATGAGGATAAATGCACTTAATGGAGAGGGAGAATGAGAAAGAAACGTTTTTGTTCCTCTCTCTCTCTGCTCTGTTATCCATTAATTAAGCCTTAATTCTGTCCTTGCTCCAAGTTACACCTGTTGACATGAACTTTCTTTTTTAGGTATCTTTCACAGGCCCCTTGAGCAGAATACCTGAACTGAACCCATGTTTCTCAAGCTGATAACTATGGCTCTGTGGAAAAAGGAGCTGTTCCGCTCCTATTCGTGTTACTGACAGACTTTACTTTGTTTCATAACTGAATTTTAATTGTCCTCCTATAATATACATATTCACTTCCCATTGCTGAGTTTCCCAAACAAAGATGAAGAATGATTATTCTAAATTCATTCAGATGTCATAATTTTGCTTATTTTCATGGGTACTTTTAACATTAGTGTCTGTCTACTCTCGTTTCTTCATTTTGACTAGGAGTGCCCTTTTAAAGAAATTACTACAGTCCTCTTAATTTTCTGTGATCTTGTTCACATCCTGGAGTCAATTTAGTGCATAAAGAATGGAGTACTTTTGAATGTAACATTACCAGAAGAGGCAATTCAGAAGTGATTCTGGTGCACCATGTCTACCAATGGAAGTCTAGTTCATGGGTCAAGACTAGAAGTAGTATGAAGCTCCAGCTTCAGACCACTCACACAAAGTGCTAATAGCAGACATCGGGAGAAATAACTCCAGATGTTTCATCGCAACAATTGCCTCCTACTGTGCCATGCTATTTGGTAACGTTAGCAATTGCACACTAATACAAGGCAAATAAGAGGTTGTAGACCTCTATGTCGTTGACATTGTTATCTTTTTATAACTACCTATATCTGATGTCTGAGGATAAGAAAAGCAGTCAGCCTCTATTTTCAGGCATCCTGATACTTACACTTACTATTTCAATACCTTATAGTCTAGTACTAACAAAGTGACCTGTGTATAAAATACATGCTCTATTGTTCTAATAATCTAACTGCCAATATGGACATTCTTGGCTTCCCAGCTACCAGCCCTTAGATGTGCCCAAAATCTCTTTTTCCCTGGCAAAAATCAAATCTGGCAAAGGCTGAGCAGGTAGAACATTGTCTTTCAATTATTTTATTTTATTTTATTTTGGTAGAAAATGCATTGATTTCTCTAGAAACTGGGCTATGGCATGTCATGCAGAACATCTGTGTGAATGCAGGGTAGAGGGATGAGTCCTGTCAGACTTTGTTTTTTATACCTGGAAGGAACTTGTGAGTCTGAGAAGAGTTCCACAGCAGAAAGTCTGAGAACAATTGACCTACGCAGCAGATGAAAATTTAATAGTACCAAGGATCATTCCCTAGATGTCCTGGAAGTAATGCTCATTGATGCCTTCCCTCTAGCAATCATGTTGTACAGTCTGCCACTGAACAAATTTTTAATCCATTCATTTTGCACCTACTATTCCAGTGTACTATAAGCTTTTAAATCATGTAGTGCTATGTCAAATATCCTGGAGTAAGTCCTGTAAACTATGCCAGAACAGTGCCTTTATCAAGCAGAATGGTGATCTCATAGAGAAGAAAAAAAAAAGAAAAGTAGAGAACTATAAGTTTTAACTGACAGGACCTGCTTTCCATGATAGCATACTGACTGTCAGTTAAATTTTTAATCTCTAATTCTGTGTTGCTAGAATAACGAAATTTTTCATGAAACCACTGAATCTATGATACTTGGTCACTGAACAGAATCCTTCAAGCAATTAAACTTGATTGCAATTCTCCATTGTCTTGGAATTCCCCAAATACTGAAGTTTTCTTTAAATACTTTTAGTAAGACAGTCCTTTTGGTATCTCTTTAAGATTTGTAGATGAGTTACTAATTATGAACATGTCACCAACAGGACACTGAAAGAAAACTACTTGGCTTCACTTCTTCTAATTGATTAAAATAATAATTAATGCATTTCAGTTGCATCAGTGGAATTACTTTGTGATAAAAGAAAGTGAAATGTCCCAAACAATAATGCTTGGGTATATTTTCTTACTAGACTCATCTGGGTAGGTATCAGTAAAGTTCACTAAAACTTATCTCCAATGAGAGATCAAGAAGCAGAAGAAGTGGTTGTTTAAAGCTAACAAGAAGACAGTACTATCTGCAATCTTCAGATGGTCAGCTCTTCAGCTTTTACTAATACCTTTCAGGAGAGATAAGGACCAATGGCAGGAAGTTAAGATGGGAGAAGCAACAATGGAGGGGCAGAACTTGTGAAGAAATGTTGAAATATTTCTGTAGCTATCTGTAGAAAGAATGATGGTGGAGAAGGTCACAGCCTTCAAACAGATGAAATATCATTGTACAGTGGAAAGAGAAGTATCTGTTCTTGGCCTTTAAATTGCTCTGCAAACAGAAATTAAGTTTGAGGGCACAGGAAGGGGCTCCTGAAGTTGTGAATAGCAAAGATATATAGCTGGTAATGTAGAGATTGTAGTGTCTTTCATTGAATGTTTTTCTGCCTTGGACTACAACATGAGCAGATTATCCCCTTGGGTCCCTTCCAGCCCTGAGAGTCTGTGTCATGGCTGTTAGGAAAGAGACTCATCTGTCAATGGACTTTCATGAGACTTGAAGTCGTGATACTAATAGAACATAGAAAGGCATAAGAAACTCCCTTTTGTTTAGCATCACTCCTTCCACTTCTTCCTGCTGTATGTGTTGGTTTTTTTTTTTTCTACATATCATCAAACATAGAGCCTGGCAATCTCATCATCACAACACGAAATCATCTCTGTTGTTATAAACAACACATGAAGTAAGGAAGAAACCTCTGTCATTGTAACTTTCCCCTATTTGTCAGCCTACATTAAATATTCATTTAAGAGTTATTTTATCATCTTCAAATGATCTTGGCATTTATTTTATTTACTAATAGCAAAATCGGTATTGTTTTTCTGTGGGCTGCTTCTAGTAGCAGGCAGAAACGTAACAGAGACTCTGCACAGCTGCTAGGGCCTCTTCTTCATGGAAAATGAGTGGGAAGAGTGAGGAAATGAGTGGAGATTTGGCTTCTTTCCTTTAGTTTGCTGGTAGCACAGCTGAATCATCACAGCAGGGAAAATATACAACTGTATACCAGAAGCAAATGACTTCCCTCTGAACCCAGGAGCAATGCAATATACTTTTAGGTGTTTCTCCATTAAAAACATATTTACGCAATACAGAACATGCTACATACAGATGCCTGAGTTATCCCCAGATGAGTTGGTTCAAGCATCAGATATCAGACAGATGCATTAGTAAAGTATCCTGCCTCAGCTAATGTTTCCCAAATGACTGTTTTGTGCTGCACAGAATCCTGGTGAGACACAGGTAAAATTTAGATTCCTAATCTCCAAACCACCACTGATCTGCTAACTGAAGAAGCTCCTTAGCATTTGGCCTTGACATCGTCTTTGGTGGAGCTGAGAGGTGGGAGGGAGGGCATGTCTGAGTGCATGTGAGTCTATGCACGTGTGTGGACACCAAATGCCTAAACCACTGAAATCTAATATGTAGGCATTCCTATTATTTCTGAAGCTCACTCTTAAGAGGTCCATGTCAGCCATTAAGAGCTCTTTGAAATCACCTTTTGGAACAAGTGCTACATAAGTTACAGAGGCAATCACATTCCCTTGAAAACTCTGGATGCCTTGTGCTGAAGCAAGATGAATTACCATTGAAGTATTAAAAATACGATTGAATCAAATGAGATAAGTATTACTTAGGTCATGACCTCTTACATAATGGCTGGCCAGTTCCATCATTACCCTGAAAGACCCCTAGGACCTTGTGGAGTCGACTCACAGCCTTGGAGATTGCTCACGTGTCGTAGATTTGATAGAACCTGTGATTATCAATTAAAATATTTGGATCAGGATTAATAAACAGGAATATTCACTTCTCATACAAGCTTGCTTAGCAGATAGGTTCCATCTTTGGTTTTTCTACTCCTTCTCTAATTCTGGCCTAAGAAATCTGCAGGGTTTCCAAAATGATGAGCAAAAGTAAAAAGAAATGAAGTGCTGGATAATGTCATGTTCATCAGTACTCTGATAAATAGACTGTAAAGGATACCCCAATGTCCGTGCCAGTTCCAGAGGCCAGACATCACTTCTGCTGAAGAATATCTTTGGAGTTTTTCTCTGAAGAGTTAAAAACATGTGGTGTGAAAGGGACAGTGCTAAGATTCTAAACAAATTTGCTGTTTGAAATGCATCTTTGACCAATTTGATTTCAATTAATTATATTGCTATTTCCATAATATATTCAAAATAAACCCTTTAGACACAAGCATATTTTACAGTCAGCTCCTTTGTGACCTGCCAAGCTGCAGACTTTGCATAATTTTTTCAGCAGCTGACTCCTGCTACCAGCTCAATTCCATTTAAAAAAGAGCATCCATGTTAAGACAGTTTGCCTCCCACAAGTTTCTGTGTGATTTTGCTTCACCCTGTGTACGCTGTTGATCCTTCTAAAGTACGTCTCATGATAACATTTGAGAATTTAAGCCACATGTAAACATGGGGGATTGAAACTAGGTGATCTTTGAGGTTCTTTTCAACCCAGGCCATTCTGTGATTCTATGATTCTGTATTTCTTATAACATCCTGCTTTTTCCTTTAAAAGGTTAACACGAATGTTTTGGAAATCCTCAATAGGCAAAAAACCAAACTGCAAATAAACCCATGGAATTTCATGAAACAGATTTTTTTTTTTCCTTTGCTGGTAAATTGGAGAACTATGATATTTGAAAACTCAGGCTTCAATTCAAAAACTACTTGATCCCGTATTTAAAAGAAACTCGTCTCAACATAGGACAGTGTTCAATTTCAGTTTTAAGCACCATCTTGTTTTCAAGTGACTGATTCTGCTGATCTTGAGCCATGTGTTCCTCCTACAAGTACTTGCTTAAGTACTTAGTAATGTACTGTACTCCTTACCCAACTGCAAGGCCACTCAGTTTCCTGCCTTCCCCTTCTTGCCTCATCCCTCGTTTTCCAGTCACCCTTGCCCATCAAATGGAGGAGGCATAGGGAGGGATAAAAAGCATCCTCTGACACATAATGCTAGAGCCACTAAGATTGTGGATCAGCACACTGTATACACAAAAAGGGCTATAAAATTTAGAGAGGTCATTCAGCAAAAGCTAGCTACCAAGAA